GCCACTGCCACACAGCATGCTTGAAACTTTAAAATCTTTAGAATCTATAGGAGGGAAAGGGTATGTTCCTTCAACTTTAAAACAGGCAGTTTAATCAGAAGCGAGTAATTTCTGAAACAAGGCTTCCAAAAACCATCGCAAAGCTAGTGCACAGCTCTCTACTCTGTTGCGCGTGGTTCTTCAAACTGTGCCAGACTTCCGGGAAGTTTGACAAGACCTCCTCAGTCTCATAATCTCTTTAAGAGAGACAGCACCTGTGGCTTTTGAAACATTCAAAGTAACATTGGAGAAAACAGGCAGGAACAACAGAGCTTAGTAAGGTAAAAGCGTAACCAGTGCCTGGATTCCATCATTCTTTATGTTCATTTAAAATTTGTAAGCTTTGCTGACTTACAAAAGAAAATTCAGTTTTGATTTCTTCATTCTGTTGAGGGTAGTAATCAAAGCCGTACGGATGGGAACGCTCACACGAGGTACACTTTGTCTTTCAAATCCTAGTTGCTGTTTGGCAGCTGTGGCCTGCCTTTGCAGCCCTCTGTGGTGTGAGGAAAAGGATTATATAGTGGATATTAAGCTCAACTTTAGTCCAGTCTTTCTAGCGCTCCCATTGCAAAACAGGGTGTGCACTTATATTCTCTGTTTATCTGTACCCATACCTCTTTCACCCTCTCCCATCACCCTCACCTCCTCCAAACACTCATACTCCCAGATGGGAGTGCAAACAGGGCCAGAATTTGTCCTTTGGTGATGCAGAAAAGTTCTGAGAAGTTCAAGAAAAAAAGAAAGAAAGTAACAGACAGGGCACTATGAAATCTGCAGAAATGAAGAACATTAAAAGTAGGAAGGGACAACCTGAGCTCACTTACAGAGAGTCTGAGCCCCCACATGTAATAGAAATTATATCTTAAATATATGAAAGCAAAGTGGATGGCTTCAGCTGTGCTATTTTCACAATCAAATTAAAGACCCTAACAATCCTGCCATGGAAAAGTTTGTCCTCTGCAAATGTTTAGCTAGGTAAGATCACAGCTCCAGCTGCTGCCCATATTTCTGTAAAAGGAACATCACTCTGTCTTTGTTGCATGGCAGACTTATCAGTAGCAGATACCACGCAAGGCCTCAGAGAGATAACGGGCATATTATCAGCAGTGAGCGTGAGACTCTTTCCTGTGAAAGCCATTTTTTTTTCCAGCAAGCTCTCCAGACATCCCGCTTGAGGTGTGAAAGGCCTGGAAACTGCTACGGCCACTTCTGCTGTTTCCAGTTCAGCTGTCCACAGAAAAGTGATTAAAATGTTGCAGCACGCTCTGCATCTTACTAAGAAAAATCTCAGTACTCTCACATGGCAATATTTATTCTGTACTCAAACATACTGTTGCAGTGCCAGAGCCAAAATATTTTACTGCACTTACTGCTCCTACACATGCTTCTGTATCTAAGTACAGGACACAAAAGTGAGATTATTTTCGCATGGTAACATTTCCAATACTCATATGGTGAGCTCACAGGGCATTCTCCAGCACAGAAAGCATCATGGAATCCAACTAATGCTTTAGGTCTCTGGCACACTTACATAGAGTAAACAAGCCTTTACTACTTTCAATCCCCACTGCATTCAGCAGAACAAGGTTCATATCAGCACAAATCTGCCTTTGTGAGTAGTTTAGTGTAATGCATTACTGCATAAGCGGAAGGCCCTGCAATACGGCCAGGTGTCCTGCTTTCACTCTACCGTGAGGATGCTAACCTCCAACAGATGAGTGTGGTGGGCAGACAGGAGCAAGGACATGGTAAGCTGTCACAGTAAGAGTCATCAAACCTCATGTATATTTTTACCCTTCTTTTTTTCACCTCTCCCTTCTTATTCTGAAATTCTCAAGTATCCACACAGAAAACAGTGACCCACTCTTCATGGAACTGAACTGCAGAAACGCTAAAGGTATATGAAAGACAATATATCTGCATACTTTTGATTGTACTGTGATATACACCCTGTGCTCTTGCACTCCTATTCTCCCAAAAAAGGGCACAGGACTGATCACAGATACAATGAAGCACACGTTGGTTTCACCTCCACTATTTGCATTGCTTACCTTCATTAACCGCATGAGGCTTAATAATGCAACAGGTACAGTTTGTGAATTTTGCACTGTTGACTGGTCCACGGCCTCCACTGGAGGGAAAGAACAACTCCAGCTCCTGAAAACAATTGTAAATGAACACATTTTAGATTCATCGAGCTGCATACATCAGCTTTCAGCATAAATAACAACATCAGAAGTCATAGAAGATAAACCTTAACTATAGATTTTCGTGCTACAAATACTTTTTCCCTATAATATTCTCTCAAGTATCTTTCCCTCCCCAGCACCATTGCTACAATCATACAAATATGACCCGAATAGTTCTTGCAATGTCTTTCTTTTCACTTTTGCAACACAATCCATTTCCATTCAGAGCATTCAAAATGCTGCTGCCACAATCATTTGGTAGAGGTGCTCCCAGTTTTCTGAATTCTCTCTTTCCTCAGTATTTTTCCCAAATCCACTCCCATATACATGTATTTTATCTTCCCTCTTTCCACATCATCTTTTCCACTACATAAGCAAAAATGCAGCTACCTTCTATTTCTCAGTATGTTTTCAATTTGAAGCTGATGAACTCAATTGCTCTGATTTCTGGGTTGAATCAAAAGAACCTCTTTGCCTTTGATCACTTCCTACCATCACTATTCAGGTACCATATAGCTTCCCACCATCACTATTCAGGTACCATATAGACCATACTGGGGTGAGCTTGAGAGCCAGATTTCTTTCCTCAGTGATATTTTTTCCACTGTTCACCGCCAGCTTCACACTTTTTCCATACCATTTATTCACATATATTACACAATCTACCAATTAAAATTAATCAAATGTTCAAAACACATTCCATTTCAGACCTATTGGTCAAATTCAGTAAGAGAATTGATAAATTTCTATTTAACGGAAATAATAATATTCTGGAAATACTACTACCGAATCTATCTGATTTCTTCCTATGTAACAGTAACAGTGCTAAAGGCCATTTCCTGGAACTGTCTCATTATTTTACTAGCTCAATTCAGATGGAATAGACTTAAGTATCTCCCAGTCTTTAGCTCATGGCACTCTGACAATTCCTGTAATCCTTACTTGAACAACTATACAACTCAAACTAATGGATCTTTCCACAGACAGGAAAAATTGTTTTTGTTTTTCTCCTAGCAAATAATCCACATTTTAAGTGGGCATATCTGAGACAAAAGGGCTCATTTCCTACATCCTTCTACTGATAAAATGCTGCATGCTTCAAAGACCTTATCCCACTCAGTTAACTAATGTTACCTCTAAAAGAAGCAGCCAGGAAAGGCAGCAAAATATTTATAATATTTAACACTTTGTTTTATCTATTAAAAGTCATAAGAAGAATGCAAGTAAATAATGCTGAAGGACTAGGATAATGAAATGCCAAACGACAACCAAGTGGGGCCTTAAAAAGAAAGTTCATTTCCTTTCCCTTTATTCCTGATCTAAAAAATTCCAAAATCCAAAATTTGGCCTACAGATACCAGCTTAGAGTATACCAAAGGCGTAGTTTCACTTGTCATTTAGCCCCCAAAAGAACAATGCAGTCTTCCACTCTAACTGTTCAGTTTAAAATACATTCAGTAAATGTGGCTGAGACTTCAGTTTTCCTTCAGAAGAGTTCATTTAGGTCCCTTTATCTTATATTTCTTTCTTCTCAGCAAAGCTTCTGCAAGGTGCAGCCAACTAGTTTCCATGGAAACTGCTATACAGCCATATAATACTGGGCCTACTTAATTAAAATAGGCACAGGGGTATTAAATTCACAAATTTTTTTTGATTTATTGAAGATTGCTGTCAGTAACACCACGAAGATGCACACACCTGCAAAAGTTCAGCAAAACAATTCCACAGTCATAAAAATGCTGCAGATGAATGGGGCCTTTAAACAGCACTTCAAAAATAATGAAATGCAAAAAGAACAACAAACTTAAGCCAAAGCACATACTTATGCTTCTAATCAAAATTTTATGCTAATAGATACTCTTTCCTACACTCTCGGTTCAAAAGCTGGCACAGTTGTCATGGCACTACACAGGAACAAAGAGAAACTTTCACACTTGTATATGAAAACATCTAACTATTTAACCAGAACTACAAAGAGTTTTCTGACTATAATTCTCCTTCATCAGAAAAAATCAATTTAATCCAAACTCTTTCTGACTCTACCATCTTCATCAAGTCTGCCAGCAGAAAAAGTACTTCAGGTCCAGCATATGATTTCTTGTCAAAACCAGGGGCACACGGAGAGGATCCAGCAGCCCAGGTATGGTGCAGACAAGAGACAAGTGCTTGATCAACAGAAAACCTCCCACACTTTGCAGTTAGCTTGCTACGCCACACAGTCTAACAGCCAGACAGAAGAAGAGGCTGACCAACTCTGCCCTCACCACCAGGATATAATCTCTGCATGTATTTTCTAGTATACAGTATTTGGCAGCTCATTAAAGTATTCCAGGGCAAGACTCTCCGGCTGTGCTACTGCAGCTGTTCCAATTTAAATCGAGGGAAGACTAGGATCCAAGAAGCAACAACTGGAATCTTTTCCCTGCTGGTCTAGAGCTAAGATACCACTAGAGCAATACCAACTGATCATGAGATAAACTTTATTCTTGCCATCATTTATCAGCGTATCTACCCCACAACATCATATGCAAATAGTCATCTCAATTCTGCAGAAATGCTGGTAATATCTATCACCCAGTCCCAGGGCTTTTTCTTAGCACTAAGGAAAGACACTCTACAAACAAAGCAAATGAGCACCAAACTCCTCAAAGCCAAGCCCACTGTATTACCTCTCAAAATACAAAGCACTACAAAGTGGCCTGTTTTCATAATTAATCATTCTGAACAATAACAGCAGAGGAAAGTAGGCTGCAGGCAGAGGACTAGTGAGGACTGTGGAGGAGAACAGATAAGCAAAACACAGGAAGGCACAAAAGGATTTAATTGTTTAATCCGTTTCTTTTTATGGCCAACATTGGTAGGCTATAGGTAGATTATGCAATTTACTCAGTTTGTAATGTACAGAAGACATTAAAAATGACCAGGCATGCTCTCCTGATCAGAGTGCCCAAGATTCCCCTTTGTGATAAACAAGATTTCTGTTTCCAGACAGTTTATTTCTCCATGCTACAAAGGATCCACAAAGAGTAAACTGAAGTCAAGTGGGGGGAAATAACAAATTCCTGACCCAGCTGTTACCAGATAAAGTAAAAATAAACCTCAGTCAACAGTCAAAAACTTACCTGAGCAGCTGAAGCAACTGAATCTGGGCCATGAGCTGCATTTCTTAGGCCATCATGTCCAAAGTTCACTCTAATGCTGTCTGGTGCATCAGTCTCAGCCACTGCAGAGTTTGCTGGCCCCAGTAACGTTTTCCACTTACAAACCGCATCATCGCCTAAGATTTCCATAGCAACAATGGGACCACTTGTTATAAACTGGAGAAGCTCACTGCAAAATGGAAACAGCACATGGGGATGCACGCTACAAATTAAAACGAACAAAACCACATGATTCAGTGGAGATGCTCAGAACTCAACTCAGCAAGGCCTTGAGGAACCTGATCTAACTTTGAAATTGGCTCTGCTTTGAGGGGGAAGTTGGACTCAGTCACATGCAGACATTGCCTTGTTATTATGGTTGCAGAAAAAGAATCAGATAATGCAAACTCACTCAAGCTACAGTGTAGTATGTTAGATTTCAAAAGAATTTTTACAAGATCAGTACTAGTAACAATGAAAGAGACCCTGATAACCACTTGTCTGATAGGAACAGTTT